GGAGTCTGATAAGTGGAAATGATTTGTGTAAGTTTTAACTCGATCTTTTATTGGGAATAAGAAGAAACAATTTATCACTTATAAATTGTCAAAAGAAAAGTGCTCAATGGTTAGAAAATAAACAGGATATTGGAAAGGTCAGGTTGGACATCATAGAAATACTTTTGATAAGGTTCTGTAATCACAGGGTGAAAGAATGTTATGATTAAAAATGTGTAATAATTCAAGGGAAAAATCAAGGTATCAAATCATTATCCATTGTGTGATTTTAAGTATAAAAATAAAGTATAAAATAAAAAAAGTATAAAAATAAAGACTTGCTGAGTTGGGGCAAGTAAAAAGAGAGAGTGCTCCATCAGCCAACAAAGTGGAGACTCCTCCATTGCTCTTTCGCCGACTCCGCATCTCCTCTCATGTCTCACGACCCTGCGAGAGCTGGACTTCCACACCTAGGCATTTGTTACTGTCAGAAGTACATTTTTAATGAACACAATAGTTGAACAGTAGAGTTTTAACTATCATTCATAAATGTGAAATGTCACAGAATGCGATATCTGATAAGTGAGGAGTTGTTTTATGATGTCAAGTTGGTTCTGACTCATACTGAAGCTGTATAGAGTTTCCAAGGAGTGACTGATGGGTCCGAACTGTCAACCTAGCGGGTAGCAGTCCAATGCTTATTCTAAAGTCCAACAGCAGGATTCTAGCATGAGTGAGAGGTAGGTATATACATTTTCTATTTGCTTTTTCTTTTAAATACTTAACACAGAAACATCCAAAACCCTTTAATAGTCTAACAGTATCAATTGGAGAGCTGATGTGGCACTGCAGGATAATGCACTAGACCAAAAGGCCAATTTGAACCGCACGGTCAGTGGTTCAAACCTACCAGCCACTCCTCAGAAACCCTATACAGGGTCTTATTAGTTGGAACCAACTCGACAGCACTTAACAACATTGGTGGGATAAGGTTAGATTGAAATAAAAGTGGTTTCTTCTTTCACATACAAGTCCAGAGGCAGGTAGTCTAGGGCTGGTATTAGGCGTCTACTTCTTACCATGTTCACTCACAAGACTCCTTCCTGCTCACCATTTAGCTGTCCCTATAATGTGGCGGGGATGGGGGTAGACACGAGGGGGGGGGCCTGATCTGTCCTGGAGCCCTGGGGGCACCACATACCATGCACTATGGGTGGGAATGGACACAGGGGGGCTTGGTGGTCCCAGCAGAATCCTGTGTACCGGGGAGGAGGCAGTGAGTACCTGGGTCCCCCTAGCCCAGGCCCACATGGGAGGGATAATACTGGGCTGAGGTTGAGAGGTGAGGTGGGGGTGGGGGCACAAAGTATGTTCCAGAGGGACCAAGTGGCCAAGCCCTTGCCTGGGGTGCGAGCCCAGAGATCAGCTGGGGGACACTCTGGACGCAGAGCCATGTCACTCTCCCTTTTCTACTCTAGGGATAGGAGGGTTCTGGGCTGGGCCAAGCAGCTACCCTGTCTGTCCCATCCCGTCCTCGGCCAATCAGAAGGGCTTTGAAGTCTGCTTGAAGATGAAGCCTCTATAGGAGAATGTCTTCAGGATGTTGGCAATGTTCTTGTAGTCATCAGTGCTGCTGTGGGGTCAACTTATGTGTTGCAAACTGAGGCCCTTGTTCATGTCTACGAGTCCGTTTTTGGGTCAGCAGCCCATGGTGAAGCTGTAAGTCTTTTTCAGATTAATCCACTGCTTGAAGTCATCAGCCACTGGCAAGCCCAAGTATTGGCACTGACCTGGAAGTATGACTTTGAAGTCCCAGTCCCACTGGTGACTAAAATTGACTTGATGTTTGGATCTAAGAGGCCTTCCTTCGCCATCCACTCATCGACCCTCTCCAGAACGTGCTGCAGGCTTGGTTGACTATCCTCCATGGCTTGAATAATCCTGGTGAGCTCTGTACAGAAAGGGGTAAGCTGTGGATGGACATACATGTGAAATGTTGACTCAATTTCCATGGTCTGGCCATTTAGCTTCAAGATGGGGAACTCAATGATTTCCTGAGGATGGATCTGTGGCTTGTCGCATGTAGCCTCAAAGTCCAGCACTAAAAGGTAGTGATACCTCTGGGGAGGGAACGACACCATTGCCGCCATGGATGCACCAGCTTTCTGGTGGATATGGAGCAGAACTCCAGAACACCACAGGGAGAAAATAAGTGGTAGCCCAGCACTTTTCTTGCTCTTGAAAGTAAATACAAAGAAAATCGAGCTGCTCCAGTCTGTAAAGGTGCTAGCATTGAACATCCAGAAGCATCTAAAACTCTCCTTACTTCGAAGATGCCAAGACTGGCAGCAGGGGTGCTGAATGTTCTGTGACAGCTGGAAAGCTGGAAAGCTCCAATGCTCCGCACATTCTAACCCCAACACTCATGTATATTTTAGAACATTTTATCTAAGCTGGATTTGGGGTAGCAGGTATTCATTACCTTTTCTAAATAGGTCTAACTTAGTATGCCTAAATTATTTCATTAATAAATAGACACAGTTGGGGTAGCAGAGCCAAGCACTAGGTAAACAAATACTCATTAAAAAAAAGTAACAAAGAAAGAGTCAAAGACTCCACTACTAAAGTGAGAAAACTAGCTTGGTGAGAAGAGAGAGGTGAGGATATGGGCTTTCTGGGATATTCACACTCTGACCACAGTCATCCCCAGGCTTACTACTCACCGCTACTCAAGACCTGTCTACTCCAGGTAAACCCAACACTCAAGTTTTCTACAACAGGCCCTGCGCTTCCCCATCTCTTCTCTCACTCAACTTGCTTCTCCTTCCTGCCATCTCAATCTGTCAAAATCCTGCCAACTCTTCCAAGCTTGATTCAGTCTTTCCAAAAGTACCCTTCCATACTGCCCACAATGGCATGGTATCCCCCAAATATGGTCAGAAAGACTCTCTCATCCTCAAAGAATTCTGTGAGGTGGGCCAGGCATGTAAGACCTCCTCCTCTTATTATGTCATCTTGAAAAGCACACACCTTGTGTGAGTCACACAAGTAGTTTCAAGCCTGGCCTTGAAATCATTTCCCTAGACTCCTGGTCTAGTCCACTCTCCACCTTCTTCTTGCTAGTGAGCAAAACACACAAAGAAAACACTCATCACTCATCATTTGGGTGTCTGGGGATTCACTCAAGCTTGGAATGAAGAAAAATAATGTCATACAAAGACAAAACAAGAAAAAAAACAAAGTAAACATACGAGTTATTCATGCAGCCATTATTTTGTCAAGCAATCGTCATAGAGGGTCACTGGACTATGGAGTTGGGACTTGATTCAAATCACACATAGTCACACTCACTTGGAAACCCTCCCTCTAGGAATGCAGACTATAGGGCTAAGAAGGGAGCTTGGTTTTCATTAGCAAGAGAGGATGAGTTTCTTTCTCAGCGTGTGCTGCAGCAAGACAGAGTACTTCTCTGTAGCAGAAACTCTACTGTTCCAATCATACACTTTTCTGTGGAGTTCCGTGTGGAGATCCAGGAATGGGCGTTTTCTGGAAGAAAAGAGAAAGGCAAAAATGAATACCTTGCAAATATCAAAGACAGATTGTCATTAGGGTGAAATGAGCCAAGAAATGTGAACGTGCTTTGGACTTGTTTCATACTAAATGCTCTACAAGATGCTTATTGAATCTTGCTTGGCCTGCCCAATGACCACAGTCCCCTCCCCCAGATTCATTTTTAGAGCATATCAGCTGGATGATACCCCACCTGGATCACCTATGCAAATACAGCATAATGTAAAAGGCCAATAATATCGATAGCCCACAGTATCTGTCTTGAGAGGGTTTTACTCTTAAGATTGCTCTCCCCTCCTTCTTCTGAGCCACTATTGAGGAGGCTGGGGATAAAGGAATATGAGATTTATTCCTGGGCCATTCAGAGTCAGAATTCAGAATGCATTTTCTACATGGCTCAGAAAGATAATTCTAAATTGCAATTAGGGAGACTTGAAGTGGGTGGGGCAAGATGGTGGGCCAAGCAGTAAGGCTGTGCAGACCCTCTGCAGCAAAGATACTTAAAGCCCAACAAGACGGATTCAGAGAATGGTCCTGGAACTCTGAGTTTCAGGTAAAGGAATAAATAACTGGATCAAGTGCTTACCAGGAGACAGAGTTGAACAGATGCAGCAAGAAAGGAGCTGACTTCTGATTTGGGGTGGCCAATGAGACCCGCCGCAGCCACTTTGAGCAGGTGTGAATAGTATAAGAAACAAGAAAATTTTCACATTGCAGAAGATAAAGTAGTAATTTTTTTTTTTCCTTTCTTTCTTCTCTTTTCCTCTCTGGTTCCTTGCACTTCTCTGGTGACCAGAGACGAAACATGCTTAGAGAAGGTCCGGCTTTCCAGGTGGGCAGGACAGCGCAGACTCATGTCTGTGCATATAAAATGAAAGGGGATGAGACAGCAGCAGTAGCCCCACTCCGGCAGGCCCTGCTCCAGATCTGCAAAGTCGGCCCTGGCCAGCCCTGGGCTAGCTCTCACAAGGAGTAGCAGCTGAATGGACATGTGGGGTAGAGAAAAGGGGAAAGAAAAAGACTGATTATAGGTCAGAGAGGCACAGCATCTTGAAATTTTTCAGGCGGCCAGTATGTGACACCAAAGCATTCCACTATTTCTCTGCTTTGTGGGAGTGTTTTCTCATCTTACCTCATCAGACAGTTGACAGTAACTGTGGCCATACAGCCCAATCACAGTCCTACCCTTCCCAGCCCCACCTATTTGGCTACAGTCAATACCAGCTGCTATACACCAGATCAATGACAACAACCTATGTTAACTAAATTCACCCGGAACTGAACTACACAGAGAACAATGCACAAACTCATCTCTTGATCACATCCATCAGAAGGCAATGGTGAATATACCAAACACATTTATCAAATTAATATAAATACAACAGTACCACAATACCTCCAAAGCAACAATCTCTGTTCACATGAAAAAAGCAAAACAATAGCTCAAACAAATGACCAATAGGATGAGCTAGAAAATGATTTTGATGTAAACAGCAGTACTGGAACTGCCTTAAAAAGAGTTCAGGAGAATGATATTTAGGTAGCTCCAAGCTATTGACAGAAAGGTCAGGAACACAAGGAAGAAATAAGAAAAGTGTAACAGGAACAATAAAATAAAACATACGAAGGATTGGAGATAATACAAAGCCTGCAAACAGATATCCAGAAAATTAAAACTAAGTTATCAGAAATGGATAATATACTGAAAGGGCAAAGGAATAGATTTGAATCAATGGAAGCCAGACCTACTGAACCTGAAGGCAAATCTCTCAATACTAGTAAGCAAGAAAAATAATCAGAAAAAATCTGAAAAAGGCATAAGATTCATGTTGGACAACATGAAAAGGAATAAATAACCTATAAATAATCCGAATGTCAAAACAGGAAGAAACAAAGAAAACCACAGAAAAGATAGTAAAAGAGATGCTGGAAGATAATAGACAAGGAAAAGCACACTCACAAAAAATGAACTCAGCACAAGAAAGCATGCAGAACAAAGAAACCAGCAGCATGACCAAAAAAAAACAAAACAAAACAAAAAACCCAGCATAATTACAAAAAAACCAGCAATTGATACTTATCAATAAAGGATTCAATGCACCAGTAAAGAGAGACAGAGAGTAGCAGAGTAGGTAAGAAAACATGATTCCTCAATATGCTGTCTACAAGGCACATACCTTACACACACAGATTAAAAATTAAAAGATGGAAAAAAATGTTACCAAGCTAATGGCAATCAAAAACAAGCAGGAGTGGCAATATTAATCTCTGATGAAATAAACCTTAAGGAAAAGCCAGCATAAGAAACAAAGAAAGACATTATCTCATGATCAAAAGGCCAATTGAACAAACGGACATATCCATAAAAAAATATCTATGCTTCCAACAAAAGAACCCCAAAATACATAAATCCAACTCAAAGCAAACTGAAAAAACAACCGACTTTACAACAATAGTGGGAGATTTTAATACACCACTTTTCAAAAAAGGAAAAAACAGCCAAAAAGAAACTCAACATAGTCACAGAAGAACTAAACAACACAATCACTCAACTTTACCCCATACATTTGAACAAAACACTCAATCCAACAACAGCACAGTACACATTCTTTTCAAATGCACGTAGAACATGCTCCAGAATAGACCACATGTTAGGCCACAAAGCAAGTATCAATAAATTTAAAAACATCAAAATACTATAAGCCATTTGCTCAGATCACAATGCTATAAAATTAAAAATCAACAACAGAAGATCAAGGAAGCAAAATCAAGACATGGAAACTGATTAACACCTTATAAGCTACTGGGAAATAGAACAAATAAAACATGAAATAATAATTTAAAAAAAAAAAAAACTCCTTGAAGCAAATGAGTGCAAATACACAACAAACCTTTGGGACACAGCAAAAGCAGTGCCTAGAGAGCAGTTTATAGCAATAAACAAGCACATTCGAAAAGAAGAAAAAGTAAAATCAACACATTGACACATCTCCAACAATCAGAAAAAGAACAGCAAAGTAAGCCTACAGTCACCAGAAAAAAAAGAGATGATAAAGGTTAGAGTAGAAATAAATTAATTAGAACCAGAAAAACAATAAAAAGTATCAATAAGAAAAGAAGATGGTTCTCTGAAAGGATTAATAAAACTGACAAACCACTGGCAAATCTAACAAAAGAGGGAGAAGAAGGAAATAACACAAATAAGAAACTATAAGGGTGACATAACAACAGAACTAACAGAAATAAAAAGGATAACAGAACACTATGAAGAGATGTACTTCAACAAACTGGAAAATCTAGAAAAAATGGATATATTTTTAGAAAAACACAACGTAACTAAACTAACAAAGAGTGAAGTAGAAAACTTGAACAAACCTGTAACAAAAGAAAAAACTGATCAGGTCATTAAAAAGTTCACACCCAAAAAAATGTCCAGGCCCAAATGGCTTTACTGGTGAATATTACCAAACACTCAGAGAAGAGCTGACACTAAGTTTACTCAAACTATTTCAGAATATAGAACAGGATGGAAAACTTCCAAATATATTTAATGAAGCAAGCATAACCCTTATATCAAAACCAGGCAAGGACATCACTAAAAAAGAAAATTAAAGATCAAAAATCTTCATGAACATAAATGCAAAAATTCTTAACCAAAAAATACTAGCCAATATAATTCTTCAACATAATTAATAATAATAAAAAAATCCTTCATAATGACTAAGTGAGATTCATACCAGGGATGCAAGGTGGTTTAATATTAGAAAAACAATCAATGCAATCCACCATATAAATAAAAAAAGGAAAAGAACAACATGATCGAATTGATCTATGCAGAAAAAACATTTGTCAACTCTAACCTCCATTCTTGATAAAAATACTCAAGTAAGTAAACATAGAAGAGAAAATTGCCAACTTAATTAAGAATACATATACAAATTCAACAGCCAACATTAATCTCAATGAAGAGAAACTGAAAGTATTCCCTTTATTAACAGGAAAATGACATGGATGCCCTATATCACCACTCCTATTCAATATTGTATTGGAAGTCTTAGCCAGAGCTATAAGGCAAGAAAGGGAAATTAAAGGCATCCCAATTGGCAAAGAACAAGTAAACCTACCTCTATTTACTAGTGATATGACCTATACATAAATTATCACAAAGATTCAGCAAGAAAATCACTGGAACTCATTGAAAGATTCAGCAAAGCGGCAGGATACAAGATCAATATACAAAAATTAGTTGGATTCCTCTATACTAATAATGACAACACTAAAAAGGAAATTAGGGAAATAATACCATTTACAATAGTCATACAATAGTTGGGGGTCGACCAATTTAGAGACCCATAAGCTCAGTCCAAAGCATCTCATTACAACCCTGTCGCCCCTGCTGCACTTCCGCCTCTTGACTGAC